GATTAGTTGTGATCATATGTTATATCATCATATTACACATCGAATTTTGGATTTTAATTGATAACATTAGTTTTATATGATGATATAATATAGAATCACAACTAATTAATGCATTACGCAAAGCCCTAAACCTTCAATTTTGAAGCCTAACCCAAAATCCGAAACTGTAAACCCTACACCCTTACTCTAAAGTCGTAAACGCTTTATCCTTCAAATCGAAGAAAATCTTAAATTTTTTTTTTGTGCAAATTTATACTTACACTACATAAGTGAAAAAGTGCAACAATACATTACTAAACAAGAAAATTATCTATAAACAATACAATTTTATAAAAATATTATATTATATATAATATATAATTGTGCCTTCTACGGTACCCCGGGTGAAATCCGGGGTATCACATACCTTGAGTATGAAAACGCTATCTAGACCTCGAATTAGCAGGATTTTTGGTCATGATACTATACTCGTACCCTTAATGAGTGAACACTAGGTCCTAATCATATAAATAATAAACTATAAACCCTAAGATGGTGCATTGATTTTTTGCCTATATTTCGACGAATCATAAACGTCGATTATTATTTCTAATTAAATTGATCTTGCGGTATAAGATTTAGAGAATTAAGTCCTAAATTTTGATCCTTAAGGGTTAGAGTATAGTATCATGTCCGAAAGATCAGTCAATTCAAGTTCTGGATAGCGTTTTCTTACTCAAGGTATACGGTACCCCGAATTTCACCTGTGGTACCGTAGAACTCCCCATAATATAAATATATTTAAAAAATAATGATAATTTGTAAACAAAATACATATACATGTATGATGAGACATGTTTGAATTGGATAGTGAGAAACTATGCTCACATAACGCTCATAATATTGGGATTCAAATTTTACCTGTACTCACTAAAAGAATTTTGGCTTCAAATTTTATTTTTATCAACTAATGATTATTTTTGACATCGTAATTGTTCTTTGACATAATTATCATGCCGGTGGCATGCCGACTAGTTTAACCTAGTAGAACTGATGTCGATCATGAAACTGACGTGAATACCAATGGTATGACCAACATGATCGATTTTCGTCCTCTAAGTTTTAGTGAATTTATTTTTTATAAGGGCGATATAGGTTTCGTTTGTTTGTCATTAAGGTACTACTTAAAATATTCAAACCTGTGATCTACTGGTTCTAGACTAGTAGGGATAAATTTTGGCTTCAAAATTTTCTTTTACCGATTAATGATTATTTTTGCCATCGTAATTGTAAGTAATTGTTCTTCGACATGATTGTCATGTCGGTGGCATGCGACTGGTTGAACCTAGTAGAATTGATGTCGATCATGAAACTGACGTGAATACCAACGGTATGACCAACATGATCGATTTTCTACCTCTAAGAATTTATTTATTTAGTTATTCATAAGGGCGATATATGTTTCGTTTTATTGTCATTAAGGTACTACTTAAAAGATTCGAAACTAGGATCTATAGGTTCTAAACTAGTAGAAATGGCAATGAGGCGGGTTTGCCTAAACCATCCACATCCCCATTTACAAATAGTCAAACCTATAGTCCTATAACCCACCCCATACCCATGCTGGAGAATATTTTGCAAACTCATCCCATACCCATGAGTTTTGGATACCAATGGGTAATACCCGTCACGTACATCCAACATTATTATACCTAAAACCTTACAAGAATTTTTTTTAATAATAACACTAAACGAAGGTACTATATTAAGAAGTCAACAAAACACAGTCATTTTCGTAATACAGTTCAAAAAATATGATCCAAAAATATTCATTAATACAAAATATAAAATAAACTATTTCCAAATTATTAAGCTCTAACTCTGATACATCTACTAAGTTATAATTAACTAACATAATCTTATTGATTAGGGGGAAAGCGTAAGAGTGAAGCAAGAATTGAGGGAAATGAATAAGGTTTTGATTAGGGGGCCACTCAATTGCATTTCTACTATTTATTTTCTCAAGTTATCTTCATTATCATTGATAGGTTACAATTTGATCCACATATTTTTTTACATGGGAAAAAATTGTCTTAGTAGGGCGAGTATGAGTATGAGTATAAGACGAGGAGGCTAAAACTATACATGCCTAATACCATCAAAAATTTTGCGGGTTTTACCAATATCTGTCTATATCTAGTCAAAACGGGAAATTCCCGTATTGATTGGGTCGGAGGCGATCGAATACATGCGATCATGGGTTTGATTGCCATCCCTAAGACTAGTGGTATTGTTAGTAGGCCAACCCTTATTCGGAGGTATGACAACATATCCCGTTTTGATACCTGCGGTTTCCCACGTGGCGCTCTCCACAGTTCCCCTCAGTGAAGCCCTCTGAGATGGGCCAAGATCTGGTGACTAAGGGGACCCCCTTAGTCACTTGCCTAAGTCAATCCTAGCCTTTCAAGTTCATTAAAATCCAATGGCTCTAATTAATTTAATTTAATGAAGGATAGTGTAGTAATTACTTGATTCATGATTATTTTAATTTTAAAAATTAATAATTATAAAATCCAACAGCAGCGACCCGTCTAAGAAAATTTCCCGGCAGCCGACCAGAGAGAGAGAGATTTTCTGGCTGGAAACTTTTTTTTCGGTGACCATCGTCGACGGAGAAGAATTTCCCGGCGACAGTGCTTGTTTTGTGATGTTTGTTGACATATTTTGTAATGTTAGTATGCTTTGTTATTTTGTAATGTTTGTTGGTTTTTTTTGTAATGTTTGTAAACTTTGTTATTTTTGTGCACCACGTTTGTAATGTTTTTTATGTCTAAAAAACAACCTGGTTGACTTTTGGATGGAACTTCTCTATATAGGGATGAAGCCTCCAAAGTCAACCCGGGTGTTTTTTCCAGTTCGTATGGATTGTCGGTCTAGTTTGTCATTTTTGTCCACCATGTTCGTAATGTTAGTATGTCTAAAAAACACCCGGGTTGACTTTGGGAAGAAGCCCCTCTATATAGGGATGGAGCCTCCAAAGTCAACCTGGTTGTTTTTTTTCTTTTTGTATGGTTTGTATTGTTTGTCGGTTTAGTTTGTATTTTTTGTACAGTTCATATGTTTGTAAATCTGTTTGTATGTTTTGTCGCTCTTGTTTGTATTGTTCGTATGTTTGTATGGTTTGTACTGATTGTAAGTCTGGTTTGTATACTTCGTAATTTTCCATAATACCCAAACTACCCCTATCATTAATTAAATAGCCCTTCCCACTTTTTAACCATCAGATTGCTAATATCCAGATTCAAGGGCTGAGAGGGACTAAGCACTAGGGCTGGTCATGCGGGCGGATCATCCGCGGGTTTGGGCCGACCCACCCGCATTTGACCCGAATTTCGTTAAGTGGGTGGGTCTGTGGGTGGGTGACGGATTGCGCTGGGAGCCATTCGCCGGGTGGTGGGTGGGTTGTGGGTGAGTGTGCGGGTGACCCTCTCAACCCAACAGCAAAAAGATCAAAGTCGTTGGCGCTAGAGAGAGAGGAGAGTGGAGACGTTAGATATAAACTCGGACTGCTCCTGGAGTTTGAACATCAAAGCCAACCTTCCAAATAGAGATCCCCTCTTCTTCCCTTTACTTTTTCCTCTAATTCTTGTGCCTAGATCACCGCTCTTTCCTTTGTGGAATTATTTTCCTTAGTTCCTTGCACCTAATAATCGTCTCAATCTGTAGAAAACTCTTTCATAATAGAATTTCTATCCAATTGAAGAACTAATTCGACATTTTTTGCCCTATTTCAACTTCTTGTTTCCCTCGATGATTCTCTTCACCTATTATCATGTCAAGTTGACTCCTTTATATTATATAAATTGTGATGTGGGTGAACCCACAAACCCACCCGCATCATCCACCATCCGCCCGACCCAACCCGAGACTAAGGGGTCGTTTGCTTGTTGGATTTGAAAAATGAGGGTTTTGACTCAAAAAACCTTTGGATTTATGAGGGATTTGTACCATCATGGATTTGAAGAGTCTATTGTTTGCATGATAGATTTGATGATATAATTATGATGGATTTACTATAAATATAACTAGCCATCAAGGATTTACAAATCCCACCCTAATATGTGGGATTTACAAGTTCGTGGGGTCCATGGATTTAACACCTAACAACAAACTATGGACTTGGCTAAAATCCATCATAATTATATCATCCGTTTAAGTGCGAGTGGGTGCATTTTATGGTCAAAATCACTCGACCCACCCAATGCCCATCCCTGCTAAGTAGGGCTGTTAATGAACCAAGCCGCTCATGAACGGCTCGGTGTGCGACTCGAGAAAAACTCGTTCGACACTCGATTCGTTTTAATCGAGCCGGCTCGCGAACAAGCTCGTTAACTAAACGAGCCGAACTCGAGCCATACCATGTTCAGCTCGAAAGCTCGCGAACAAGCTCATTTAATGGTTTGACATAAAAGAAGAATTAGAACGAAGGTTGTCAAACCGGTTTATGCCAGTGTGCCGGTTTAGCTAGTGGAATGGTTCAACCGGTGGCACATATCGGTTTGTGCCGGTTCATGCCGGTCAATATTACAAATAAAATTATAAATACTCATATTTAAACATGACATTTAACGTCAATACTTAAACATTTATACCTGAATCCAACAAATAACATCAATATTTAACTTTTATACTCATAAAATAAATAATAAAATAACTTTTATCAATTAAATTCACTAAAATAAAATCATTTTACTTAGAGATTCGTATATCGATCATGCCGGTCATACCGGTGGTGTCATGCCGGTTTTATGACCGGTACCGGTTGAACCAGGTACAACCGGTGGTACGCCGGCCGGCGTGACAACCATTAGAACTCATGGATTTTATGTATTGGAATTGGGATAAATATTGAGTTTTACTTTGCTACAGGTTTGAATGTAATTTTGTTAGCAGTTCTAGGTCAATTTTGAGCTATCATGAACATTTTATGAGCCGAACTCGATTTTGGGCTCGTTAAGCTTACTTGACGAGCCGAGCTCGAGTCGAGCTCGAGCTTTCATTTTCGTAAACGAGCCGAGCTCAATCTTGCATATTAAAGCTCGTGCCGAACACGAGCCGAGCTTGAGCCTGGAAATATATCAACGAGCCGAGCCTGAACTATGGCAAAGCTCGACTCGACTCGACTCGGCTCATTAACAGCCCTACTGCTAAGCACCCCTAGACCCTAGTCACGGGATCCTCTCTCCTCTGAGATCGCCCTGCCTGCACTCTCCTCTCTGCAACGGAACCACTCAATCAATCCCGTCGTCCCACTTCTCTTCAATCCCAATCATTCTTCTGAAATCTAATCCAAAAAATGGAAGCCGCCGGTAACGACAAGAAGCATGTGTACTCCGTGTGGGGTGCCCCGCCAAACGACGTCAGGGATCGGCTCAAGAAGCTCATGGACGGCCTCCGATCGGAATTCGGCGGCCCGGAATTCCAGCCCCACGTCACCGTCGTCGGAGCTATAACCTTAACGGAGCAGGACGCTCTCAGCAAGTTCAATTCGGCTTGCGAAGGGCTCAAGGCTTACCTCGCCACCGTCGATCGCGTCGCCGCGGGGACTTTCTTCTACCAGTGCGTGTATTTGCTCCTCGATCCCACCTCCGAGGTTAGATATCTGTTTGTGTTAAGTTCACACTGTCCATTCTTCGATTCCCCTTATGATTTGATTGAACTGAAAGAGAATTGGTTTGTAATCGCTTTTCTCCCTCGTCAGGTTGTGGAAGCTAGCTCACACTGCAGTGGACATTTTGGGTACAAGAGTTCCACTCGTAAGTTCCATTCTTCTTCTACTACCCTTTTTCTTTCAAAACCCTAAAAATTGAAATGTACAAGAATCTTTTTTTGCTACTAAGTAGGAAACTTTTGACTTGATTGTGAGCAAACATGGAGCATCTTGTTATAGGATAGGAGTAGAATCTCTTTGTCAAGAGAAAGATTCCAAACTTTTGTTGTGGGATGGGAACTCTTGAAAGACTCTGTCGAGAGGGCTTTCCTCTTCTATCTTCTGTTGTCGCTGATAGTAATCTGGTGAAGCATCCTTGGTCCACCAGCCAGCTTTTTTGGGGAATAAGGGGAAAATGGAATGGAGTTTCCTTTAAACGGTAGATTGAATAAAATTGCAAGTCACCGTCTTGCCCTCTTCATTGGATATGCAGCGATGTGCATCTGCTGTTGCTGTTCTAAGCAATTAGTATGCTGTCGAGGTTCTTTGATTTTATAGTTAGGGGTCGTTGCTGGCCAATATCGTCGTGATTCACGGACGACATTTTCTGATGAATTCATCGTTTATCTTATCTGAATTTGGTAAAAAAATCATGCATTTCAGTCCTCCAGTCTCCATTGCACTTCCAAAATGATATCCTAGGTGTCGAGAATCGTTCGGTCTTATCGAGGTCACCATTACGATTCTTAGATACCAAACATTGTCACACATTCTTGCAATCCATCAATAAGCATACGAGTCCTTAAAAATCATGTACTCCATTGTATATGGCTTAGTGGCTTACTAAACAGCCCCATAAACCTCTGATGAATGAAGAATAAGACATATGTAACAAAAGCAAACAGAGACTGTGTTAAAATTGCCTGGGACTCCCGTTTGTTTTAAGTTTAACTCTTGTGGGCATGGGTGTGGTGATATTGCTGCAGCTTATATGCCGCATCTCAGCCTTTTGTACGGCGATCTGACCGATGAAGAGAAGAAGAAGGCTCAAGAGAAAGCCCTTCAACTAGATGACAGCATCAACAGCCTGAGCTTCGAGATCAGCAGCCTGGAGCTATGGAAGACTGATACAGAAGACAACTCTCTCAAATCATGGGAGAAGATCTCAGAGTTCAACCTCTCTCCCAACTAAGACTAATCTAGGAAGCTGCTGTACATCACTCATCTTTGATTTGGCTTCTGACCAGATCTTCAATAAATTGGGCGTTACCTACTGTCCTGTTACGTAACTGTGTGTTCGAAAGAAGCAAAAGATGAAAGCCCTGTTGTAATGCATTTGTGAGACGGTGACAGTTCATTTGATGGCTATTGATCTGAGAGGAAGGATCTGTATTTTTCCTCTTTTAGGCACGAAACATTCAGCATCCGCTGATTATCGGGCACAATTGGAAAAAAGTTGGCAGGCTGTGTTTTGATTTGAGCCGGCATGTCACAGAGAATTTAACAACTTGTAGTAGGAGGTGGTGGATATCCTTTGTGTAATCTAATCGCTCTATTAAGGGGCAAAAGCTGAAACTAGACGGCTCCGACCTTTTCAAGCTTCTTGTTGTTGTATTCCACTTCCACCCAAATGGTTTATCTGACAGCTAGATCAGCAGGGAATCTTACTATTATACATGCATACATACAACTCATGAGGTTTGACATTTAGAACATTGAATCTGCCCACACCCAACCTACAAGTGAAGATACCTCTCCTACCTCTCTGTTCAACAGCATATAAAAAAGAAGAGAAATTGTCAATGGCTGGAATCAAGTGGAGGAAGCTATTATTATTTCCAGAGCACAGACCCAAAAAAGGGCTTTTACCCGTTCAAAAGTCTCTACCGATTCATTATGAATTCCACTCTTCTTCTTCATTATTTCCTCCATACGTTATTGCGCAGTATTTTTTTTATTTTATATTTCAATGGCCCTGATCCACTAGCATTAGGATGGATAGCATCTTCTATTTGGCAACAATCTCTGGTTCTTTGAACTTAACTAGGGAAGGAGCATGCAAAGGCCTCATCATCATCATCCCGCGATGGTTTTCAAAACTATCCCGAGTAAGAAGTACATTAAGATTGAGAAGATTTTGAATGCATGACTAATATGTACGTGGTCACGGAGATGGAGAGTGGAGATGTTAATTCATCTCTTATTTTTCTCGCTCGATTTTTAACAAATAAAATCTTTATTAGTTATCTATTTCTTCCCAAATTTTGGAAAACGAGTTGGATGAAAATGTTCCATCTCAGAGAATTATGATCTCCACAACTTGAACTGAGAAGCTCGAAATTGGACAAGGCAAAATCATGATGCCACATTTTTTATTCACCCAAAAAAGCTCATCATCAAACCCACACATACCCTACACTACACGCTTCCTACTCCCCAAAGTTAAAAAAAAGTCTCCCTCCCTCCCGTTCCGGCTGCGGCTAGGCAAGGAGATGACGGATATGCCCTCGCTAACGGCTAATCACAACCCCGTTGACCGCTCCTCCCTCCGGTCTCCGGCCACGAGATTTCTGTTCCACTACGTCAATTTATATTATTATTATTAGAGACAAAAAAAAAAAAAGAATACATCCTAGTACTGTTATTCACGCAAGCCAAGCGCCGCCTCGTTACCGGGAAACTTTGCCGTGTCGGTCTCCTACCCTCCACCTGAGAGCGACGTCGTTCCGGCCGGCGGTCCCCCTCTCTTTCTTCCCACCTAACTGTCTGCCTTTCCACTTGCAGTTATTCGCTCTCCTTCTCTACTGTTCCCGCGTTCATAAAAAAAAAACGAAAAAAACATAAAATTTCCAGCTTGCTTTCATCCACGCTCCAGCTCACCTTTCCTCCAGACGCGTGTGCCACACATCCTCTCCACGCATTCTTGGCGTCTTATTATACTTGTCAACGTTTCCCTGCCCACTGAAACGGATAGATAGACGTTGAGAATCAAATTCCCCCTTAATTCCCTCGCCCAGATTTCTCTCCCCGTCTTATTAGCCTTAAATCTCTTTGCCCCCACCGTCCTCAATTACTTCTTTTAGGGTTTTGGGTTGATCGACTCCGAGTTCGTTTATTGTCGCAGCAAAGCAACTGCTCGGATTTTTACGGCTCCTTAATTTGGGTTTTTTTGAAGCTAATCTGCTACCTCCAGCTGCCGCCGTCAACATCCGTCGTTGGTGGAACTTGGGAATCAAGAAAAGAAGCCAGCACTCGCTCTTTATCCTTTGGGGGCCTATTCCGGTACTGGGTTCGGATAGGCCAAGAAAAAGAAACAGGGGAAAGTTGGAAAATTCGCTGGTGAAATCTGGTGCGGAGAACTCGAGTGTGAAAGCTTTTTCCCAAGAGGGGGAATATTTAGGGCCCAGGTGGGGTCATTCACATTGTAGTAGAAGAGGGTTTTGTATCTTTTTTCGAAGTTCAAGTTCTTTTAGTGTTTTTGGGATGGAAGTGAAGAATCCGGTGAGGTTTACTCTCGGAAAGCAGTCGTCTTTAGCACCGGACCGTGAAAGGGATGGTTCCGGTGGGTTCGAGGAAGCCATGGAGGGCATTGATCCAGGTGTTCGCTTAATGTACGCAGCTAATGAAGGGAATCTTGATGGTATCCAGGAGCTCCTGGATTCCGGCGTTGATGTCAATTTCCGGGATATTGATGACCGGACGGCGCTTCATATCGCCTCCTGCCAAGGTTTAACTGACGTGGCTTCGCTCTTGCTCGACAAAGGGGCCGCAGTTGACCCCAAAGACAGATGGGGAAGCACGGTAATCAAAATGGGTTTGCGCTTTTAAAGCTCGTTTTTCTTACTTCTTGGATGAAATGGAATCTCTGTTGCTGCTTGCTAGAATTGGTTGCAGCTTTATTAGATGTGACAATAAAATCTTATGTTGCTGGAACAGCCCCTTGCAGATGCCATATATTACAAAAACAATGACGTTATTAAGCTCTTGGAGAAGCGCGGTGCCAAACCTCTGGTATGTTTGGCTTTCTGTGTGTTTCTCACATGGGAAACAGTGTTGTGTGAATTGGTCGATATGATGAGTATTTTTCTTACGCAATATGGGTTTCTTTCGTCTAGATGGCCCCAATGCACGTCAATCATGCTCGTGAAGTCCCGGAGTATGAGATCAATCCTACTGAGCTTGATCTCACTAATAGTGTGCAGATAACTAAGGTAATTGTTTATTGTTTTCTGAAACTTGAAAGAGTTGTTGCCATCTGTCATCTGTGATTCCTTTTTGGAGTTCACATTTCCTGGCTACTTATACTGCTGTTTGAACATTTAGCTTAGCTTGGGTTTTCACATATGACAACCTCACCTGGTTCCTAGGTTTGTGAGTTGCATCCTGTTCCTATATCAGAGCTCAAAACTGTGGGTTGTAGTTGGTTACGGATATAATAAATTGGTGATACCCGAAGGACGGTCAGAGGCTTGTACATTGGTAGAGAGAGAAAAGGGGAAAGAGAATGGACGGCCATTTGAGAGTAGCTTATAATAATTTGGTTTTGTGTGTTGCATTGAAGCAACAATTTGTGAGGGTCGATATGAGCCATCTCTCCAGAGCCGTGTTATTATTGTCTATGACCTCCTGAAAGTTAATGCATGCCAGAGTAAACAACCTTATAGAGGAACTGTAAACTTTGCAACAGAGAGGTTTGTCTAAATGATAATTTGGGCATTGTCCAGGGAACTTTTCGGTTAGCATCATGGCGTGGGATACAAGTTGCTGTTAAAATGCTCGGGGAGGAAGTACTCTCGGATGAGGATAAAGTGTGAGTGATCATGAACTACCACATATTACTTCTCCTCATGTAGTCTTTGAAGTTTTCATCCTTTTTAAAAAGCAATATGATTTTTACAGAAGGGCATTCAGAGATGAGCTCGATCTGCTTCAGAAGCTAAGACACCCTAATGTGGTTCAATTTTTGGGTGCTGTTACTCAAAGTAGCCCGATGATGATTGTGACAGAATATTTACCGAAGGTTTGTCTTCCATTCCTTGAGTCACTGCTGCAGTGTAGTGCCACCCTCTATATGGTACCATAGGATAATAGAACTCATGCAGTTTTGAACATTTAGTTGTGTTCATATGAATGTTACTTTCTTTCCCAATGATGTTGTTAACTCTCATTTCTCAATTTTGCGTTTGAAGTTTCTCTCAGAGATTACTTTGGTTTCCATAATGTCTCTTTTTTGGTAGTCGATGTCCTTAGTGCGTTCTTGATGTCAGAGATGAACTTTTTCCTTTGAATGTGCAACTGAAGTGCATATTCACAGAGGATCTTAGTTATCAACTGTCTATTTGCAATATCAGCCTCTCTTTTTGTGGAATGATCATTGATTATTCTTGACCATGAACAAAGATATTTGCAATGGCAATTTTTTCCAATCAGCCAGGACTCAGTATCTCTTAATTGGTGTATTTGCTATACTTTTTCATGATGCTGTACCTTGGACTCGTCCATGACTCTATGAGAAGTTATCCAGTGAAGTTTGCTTTTGATCACTGTTCATTTGTTTATTAATATTTCAGGGAGATCTTCGTGAGTACCTTAAGCGAAAAGGTCCACTAAAACCAGCAAAAGCTGTGAGATTTGCTCTTGATATTGCAAGGTTAGTTGCTAAGTTTCAACATGATTCAATACATGATTGATAGCAATCACCATTGCCCAATATAGACTTCAAAGGTTCTTTTTTTTCTTCTTCCATTTGCTAGTGGAAATATGGTTTCAATGTATGTAATATTGACATATATCTATTTATCACGTAGGGGTATGAATTATCTACACGAGACCAGACCAGAACCAATAATTCACCGTGACCTTGAGCCTTCGTGAGTTTCTTCATTTGGACTTCTATGTGTCTTTAACATGTTTGATGTGGATATACTGATACATCAGTTTAATCTTGTGTAAAATTCATTAGCTTCCTCAATTTTCTGAATCTGCCAGCATCTTTTTCATTTTGCTTATGAGCAAGATAACAGAAATATATTGCGGGATGACTCAGGACATCTCAAAGTTGCAGACTTTGGTGTTAGCAAGTTGCTAACAGTGAAAGAAAAGAAGCCTCTAACTTGCCAGGATACTTCTTGTAAGTGCCTGCCTAATGTTGCTACATCTGCTGGCTTAAGATAGGAGTAGCAATATTCAGTCCCTTTCACTGAACATTCTTGATTTTTAGCCACTGTAATAAAAGGATGTATATTTCATTGACAGGTCGTTATATGGCCCCAGAGGTTTTCAGAAATGAAGAATATGGTACCAAAGTGGATGTCTTTTCGTTTGCATTAATACTACAAGAGGCAAGTACTTGTGATTATTTGATGTTAGGACTTGTGTCTTTACTTCTTTGAGGAACTCTGCTTAGATATGTTGAACTTGAATATAATGTGCATCTGATTCCTTTACTTCAACTAAGTACCTCTTGATAACAATGTTTGCTGTGCCGTATGTTACAGATGATTGAAGGCTACCCTCCATTTTCTAACAAGGAAGATCCTGATGTTCTTAAAGCCTATGCTGGAACTGAGCGTCCTCCTTTTAAGGCTCCACCAAAGTATTATGCGCATGGGATTAAAGAGTATGTTTCAATGTGATTCCGATTGTCTATTTTACTTGAGATAATGTGATCCAAAATCTGCAGCATGATTCAGAGGCCTCCGATCTTGTATGATCATCTTTGGAAGATTTTATTGTTTCTTTGTGCTTACACGAATTGGGAATTGGGGATTCTATTATTATATGTAGTGAATAGAGCACGGTAGAGTAGCTGCAGACCCTGGTTCTTCTAACCGAATTAATGAACCTTCGAAAGTAATATAATATACAAGGGACCTGCCACATATTTATCCTGATTAAATAGGAGTCTATTTTATAGGAGACTTAATGTTGTCTTCTGGCCTACAGGTTGATTGAGGAGTGTTGGCATGAAAATCCAGCTAAACGACCAACTTTCAGGCAAATACTGACAAGACTGGAGTCTATTTACAATAGAATTGGGTACAAGCGGGGTTGGAAGGTCAGTCTCTCTCTCTCTCAAGTCAACATAAATTTTTCTGGGTTTTACAATGCTTTGCTAGCTTATGCGTTTTGCGTGACGCATATACTAGTAGCAATTCGGTGAAGAGAAATTAGAGAATTGGTAATACCTTATGTTTGTGTCTATTGCTGAATACCAAATTTGCATACTCTTTAGAGATGCTCACCTTCTACACGGGAGCTGCTAATCCCCAAACATAATTCATCTTATTAATGAGTCCGCCCTGCAATGTCATTAAAATATGATAATTATTTCTGGCAAATGACGGGTGTCCTACATGAAAGTAAAAGAGATACTGAGAAGTAGGCGTATACTGATCGTGCTTCTATTGTGAGCTTTGGTTAAGAGAGATTGTTCAGCCACTTTTGCCCTAATAGACAGAACTGCAGGAGGACTAATACATTCTCTCCCCTACGACACCTGTACAGGATAGACCGTTAAAATGTTTCCCGAATTTGGAAGCCTTCTTGAAGAAAGACCAAAGTCTAAGTGGGCGCGATGGATCTTCACGCTCAGCCAGCCGTGTGTGAATAGAAACGTTGTTCTAGGGCTTGCCTTTCACGGTTGCAGACTCCAATTTTTTCTTGGTGGTCAAAGTTTCCCTCTTTTATTCTTTTAGAGTAGAGCATTCTCTGGTTTCCTTTGGTGTATTTCCTATTGATACATTATCAGGCAGTAGACACATTACTTCTAGAGTTCTCTCTTCATTTTACATGATCTATGGAATAAGAGTCCTACTGAGTTTGATATCTCTTGTTATCTTTTGCACCCTTACCCTACTCATGTTTGCTTGGTTGATAATACACATGAGATGATTTGATTACAGATGTGGGGTTGCTGCTAATAGCTCTACTTGCAAAAGGTCAGGAAATGATGATGATGATCTACCTACAGGGATTAGCCTGGTGTTCCTGGATCAGCCTTTCCCTACTGTATGAATGTCGATATGCCCTTTTCTGTAATTTGTTTGGTTGGATTTCATATCCTTGAGGGTTATACATACATCATTTAGGAAAAGAATGCATGTGTGATGTTGGCCCATGTGAAAAAGAGGATACAAAAGTTGTCATTTATATATCTAAATAAGAGTAACTCTGTTTGGGAAGAGGGGGTAAATGGGAGGAGGGTGCAAATGTGAAGGGTAAATACAGTTTCCAACACATTTGCACCTGTTTGGTTAATTTGGAACAGTAGGGGGTGCAAAACGGGAGTGCAAATTTACTGTTTCGGCTTACCCCCCAAATTGGGGTGCAAGGGAAGGAAGGAAGAGAGGGGGAGGGGGAATTATGGAATTTTGTTTTTCTAATTGTGTTATATATAATTATATAATAATTAATATTATCAATTTCTTCTTTCTATAAATATCATTAATGTAAAAATTATTCGGGGTTGACCATTTGACTCTGGAAACAAGTTTATCAATGTTCGTCAAGTCAAATCTAGATCTCTTGGTTGAATCGAATTTGCATTGAAAATTAGAGATACGAGGTGTTTGTGAAAAATATAGAGAGAAATTGTTTGGTTAACTCAGTTTATTTGACTAAATAGTTAAAACTTACAAATTCGAACGTGTTTGACTAAGTTTGACAATTTAAAATTAAACTAGACACGAAAACTCTATATAGGATGACCAGTTACAAGTTGAGCTTCGAGTTTTGAGATCGCTCGATCAATGATTATACAATTGTCATAATTAATTATTATTTGAGCATTATTATATAATAACTATTTTTAGTAAAGTATATTTATTATTATATAGTAATATTTATTTTATTATTTTATGATAATATTTTAAAACTTTAAAATCTATTTTGTAATCTAAAATCTATTTTTAAAATCTATTTTAAAATAATATAATTACTTACTTTTCACTCTATTTGCACCCCCTACTTTTTCATCCAAACAACAATTTACCCCTCCACTTACACCCCCAGCAATTTGCACTCTCAGCAATTTACCCCTCAACTTGCACCCTCCTGCAATTTGCACCCCTTTGTTGCCAAACAGAGCGAAAGTGTTCATGTGGTGGCCTTGAAGCTGCAGGATGGGAGGAAAAAGATAGAAACACTAGAGGTATAACTTTCTATGGGGAAAGTGACAATTCATCATGTTATGAATTTCACATGAGAGTGACTGACAACCCCACTCGGCACTCACCATAATCGTGTTGTAATTTTTTTGTTGTTTGCCAATTATATTGTGAAGAATTCAGATGTGAATAGATTTTGCAATTACTGTGATGTGGGTTAGATATGGCTGTTGTTGATGAAAAGAAATGAAGAATATGCAGTGTTACAACTAATTTACAATTCATAAAACACTAGGATTTGTTTTTTTTAAAAACATTTAGTGATGATGGTTTTCGACCTAACTCGTGCGACTTGACCTGTCCAACATGTTGAGGTAGTTATTGCGCGATCCGTAGTAGCATGAGACATGACATATGTACTATTTCGGCCTAGTTTAGCCTTGTCCGGTTTTGTATAATCTTAATTTGCATCAATATATATTTGTATTTTCCAATTTTAAAAATTTTCATTCAAATAATATATTTTCCCTCGATAATTAGCAATTTTATTAAGCTCAGCTTGACAAAAGCAGGATCCTCAAAAACTCAAGAGCATAATTTTGTTGTTACGAGTACAAACTCTACAAGAACTACAATCAAGATCCTATCTTGAATACAGTAAACAACTCAAGTGTGGTATCTTCTTTACTTCTAACTGAAATTCCAGGTTCCCCATTGCAAAATAGTTAAAGTCAGCTCTCCATTGCCCTAGAAGAGCATTTGTATCTCGCTGCCTCCCCTGAAAAATACAAGTGCATCTCTCCTTCCATATAGCACTAATACACCAACACCAAATAGCACTCCAAACCAGTCCTCGACTTCTTTCCTTGTTGCTTCTTCTGCGTATCCAGCTAATGAGTGCCTCCCAAGAACTTGGCCACTGATTGAAGCCAAAAACTGCTGCAAAAAATTTAAGAGAGTAAGAGCATTTGCAGAAAAGATGGGCTCTAGATTCTTCCTCAGCCTGGCATAACACACATAGCGAGTCAGTAGTTTCCCCCCATTGTTTTAGCTTGTCTTTCGTGGTGGTCCTGTTCAACATGATTAACCAGACAATAACTCGGTTTCTAGGGATCACAAACTTGTTCCATATAATCGTCCACCAATCCACTTTTTGATCGAATTTACAGCCATACTTGCTGTACGGAGAATTTAGGCATAAGCTTCCCCTCCCAAGATACCTCTCCTTCTGCATTAACTGCAAACCTGAACTGGAACCATCCTCTAGAGTTGAGTAGCTTTCGCCATATCCATGAACCGGACTGAGAGAGAGGGATTCAAATAATATTTTGAATAAGTACAATACTATATTTTTCAACTAGTTAGACTCATATTCAATTTCTTATTTTGTTTGTAGTTCATTAAGTTTTTTTTTTTTTGCCATAGATATTCCTAAAGGGAAGTAGCATAGATACGATACTATTTAAGGCCTGATAAGCTCAGAACTAGAAAACTTAAATAAGAAAAACACGACGGTTAACAAGTGTCTGAACCATCGCCCAAAGGCTTGTAAAAGAATTTTTTTTTTCCTGTTTTTCATGTACATATAGCATATTATGATGGGTTGATCTACCCTACTTTGTGACCGCGTGAGTAGGCCGGCCCTCCGACACATGGTCTCCAAATTCTGGGGACCTTTGGACATCCATTATTTAAGTGACGTGGAAATTAAAAATTAAGTAATATATAAATTTTAAAATTTTACATTTTCCACCTCATTTTACAAATGTAAAAAAAATAATTTTCAATAATTGTCAAATCAATTCTTTCTAGGGATGGCAAAAATATCCGTAACCTTGGATATCCGTCCGAATCCGATCTAATCGGGTATGGTAAAATTCGAACCTAAAAGACTTTTAGTGGGTATGGGTAAAACCCGAACCCGAATATTGCGGGTAATGGGTGGGCATGGTTTTCTCAGTATCCAACCCGAACCCGCCCGATTATACACATGCATATGTAATTTGCCTAGAAATAATCAATATTTTTTTCTAACATATTTTATGTTTAGCATATAAATATAATATTTTTATGAAATTGTGTTGTTTTAATTAATTTCCTTCATTCTAGTGAATAATTATCATACTTTTTCGTCTTACATAACGTGAGAATACGTGTGAATATTAATATATTGGTTGAAGTTATAAAAAGAAACTATTACCCATGGATAACAGTGGATACCCGAAACCCGAACAGGTATGGGCATGGTTTGAATTTTCTACCCGTTTCTTATGAGAGTATGAGTATGGGTAAAACCCGAACTACTTTTAGTAGGGTAACGGATATGTACTATCCGTCTCCGACCCGACCCATTGCCATCCCTAATTTTTTCCGTAGTTTTTAGAGTTGGTCTCGAGCGGGTCAAATACCTTCTGCTTGTCTCGGGCGTGGCTGGCAGCGATGCTCAACTTCTCCACCTCATTCCACGCCGCCACGCACTCCCCGCTAGCCATATCCTCTGGTGGGTTTGGACTTTGGAGGCCTTTTGTTCGACCTAGGCCTTGGCGGTTGTTGAGAATTCACACATGTATACAGTGGAAGAAGTTGGTCTTTCTGAAGAGGTAGCTGGCGTTGGTTCATGACTCGGCGTTGTTCATGAGAGTGGTGGCCATCCTGTGGAGGATTTGGCGGTCTCGGAACTGGGTTGTCTTTGAGGGCAAGCAGTTCGGGATCCCAGCCTTGATGCATCAATTTAACCAGCAATATGAGGAGTGGGTTGGCCTGAGTGCGAGTCCGACACATAGTGGTAGAATGGGGCCACGCCAGACCATACAAGTCCTCTTGGGGATAACAGGGTAATTTGTATGTGGGATGGGGCCACGAGAGGTGGATCTCACTCGGCTGGTGGGATGGTTCTTATGAGCCCAGAAAAGGAAATCCTTTTGGCAAAGGGAATTCAGTTCCAGTCAGTGGACGATCCCATAGTGGTAGAATTGCTTGCTCTAAGGGAGGCCCTCGTTTGGTGTATGGAGCTCGGTTTCTCGGAGGTCATGTTGGAGGGGGATGCTAAAGTGCTCATCGATAAGATCAACAAAGCAAATACTAGAGATAACCGGGTGGGTGTCGTGCTTGAAGAGATAGGATACTATTTTCAGGCCCATCCTGGGTTGGCAATTCGATTTGTAGGTCGGCGGAACAATAGGGTAGCCCATTTGGTGGCTAAAAAGGCCCTTTCTTTGTACCCGACTATGAGTCGGCAGTTTGATTTTCGAACCTGGCTTGCTTCCAGGATGTAACTATTGTTTGCTTATATCAATATATGATTATCTTTTGTAAAAAAAAAAAAAAAGAAGTTGGTCTCTCCTTTGTTTGCTTGACGCTCTGCAACTTATTGTTGGTCGGCGGTGGATGAAAGAGGAAGACTCATATTTTGATTTGGAAAGTGAGGTAGCGGAAGAGAATGAAGCTAATCAACTTTTTTTTTTTTTGGGTAATTCATAATTATAATATTTTTTGTCTTTTTTTTTAATTTATTGTGATAATGAGGTGGAATTTTGAAAGATTAAATTTATTATTTTTTAATTGTCACGTCCCTTATTTAACGGTCAACTCTCAGAGTTGACTGCCACGTAAGCTAAAGTTAACGGAGACTAACAGAGAATGACCAAACTTGAATCGTTGTACAAATTTGAGTGACTATGGAGGGAATAAATTATTTTTTTGATGCGAAATCAAAAAACTTGTATTAAGCTCCGGCAAACACCAAGGGGAACTCATGATGTGCCTCTCAAACAATTACAAGGGAATAAATTATTGTTAGTGGAAAACATGAACTTTTTAAATAATCCGTAATAGTAATTAGTCATGTACATAAAAAATATGACGTGGAAATTAAAAATTAAGTAATATATTTAAAACAATAATAAAAATATTACGGATTATTAGATTTCGATTATAAATTTTAAACTGATAAAATATTTATGAATTGAGTTTTGATTGTGGGTCTTAGATAATAATAATAATAATAAATATAAGTCAGAAGGTTAAAGGAACGAACGAATCACATGAGACGAATACTTGTTTTCTTATTAATTTTTTTTAAACCATATAACATAACTTATTTTTTGACGTGTGTTTCCTAAATAGAACAAAAGAGGTAATGGATGATGTCTCATAATTATCATTATTAAATTTGTTGCTTTATTTTTTTTTTCTGCTTTCAAGGGGGAAAAGAATTCAATTTCGTCAATTAATCTACTTGTACCACTAAAGTAGTAATGCTAAATTAAATAAATAATTCGCATTGGTTAATTAAACGTTAACCAAAATAGTTAGGTACAAGCCACCAATATATAGTATAAAGGAAAAAAACTAAATCAATTGTAAATAGTTTGACATTATGTGATATGACTAATTCTTGTTGTAAAGCTATAGATTTTTTTTGAATTATTCAACGTATTTATACGATTTTTTTAATTTTAATCTTTTCGAAACTTATTGATTGTTTTCCTAATGCAATCATTTTTTATAGAATTTTATTAACTATTCAGGTGATTGTTGCTACAACAGGAAGAAGCTTTTCGAAATTGAAGTTGTTGAAGTCTTATATGCGCTTTAGAATGACATAAGAGAGGCTTAACATATTAGCTATATTAGCAATCGAGAATAACCATTTGGATGATGCAAAGATGAAAGAGCTAATAGAGAATTTTATTTCAAATAATATTAGACTGCTGTTACTTTTTAAACAAAGATAGATGATTTTATTTATTTTGTAATTACTTTTTAAACTTATATATTTATTATTATTATCTAATAATTTTTATTTTTAATAAATTTACGGGAAAAATTTAGGGGCCATATTTTAAAATTTCGAACAGGACCTCAAAATATCATGGGCCGGCCCTGCACGTGAGTATTAACCTACCTCATCCATGCTTAGTGTGGGACGAATATGAGTATTCATGTATCCACCCACCCAGCTCCATTATCATCATTAACTCAATTGATTGGATGCATTTGTAAGAATGGAACCCAACTAAAAAATAATTTGAACAAACACCTAGCTAGTACTACATTTAATGTCTACTTCTATGAAATTTAAATATAAGTTTCTCGGTTCCTTTGGTTTGAAAATGGATAGTACGTAGTGACGGATACAAAAATTTTACATAGGGGTGTCCTCTTTTAAAAATCAAATTAAAATAATAATTAAATAATTTTTAGATAAAAAATCTGATTTGTACAAAAGACAACAAAACACATGACATGTTCGTATTTTGGA